CTGAAAACAGAAGTAAATGTGTGTAGCTGCAGGATCTTTCATTATGAATATGGTTTGGGAGGGCTCCCATTGAATTAAAGCAGAAGTGTTGTGAGATCATTTAATCTACAATTATTTTTAATGAACTGTAGTCTGCAAAGCAGTTGCAAATATTTCAGTCTTTGGAGAAAGTACATATTGATAAAGAATAAGAGTAAACAAAGATACACTTTTTGTCAATTTAATGGCAATCTTTTTGTGAAGTTTTGTAAGGGTTACCAGTCTATTCTTGACACAATCTTCACGGCCACTCTCTTTTTAGAGTGAATTCATTTCTTTACTTCATTATACATGCTCCAGAAACTTGGGTAGGATTGATATTTTATGACATAGATTAGATTCCAAACTTACTTTATTAAAATCATGACTTTTTAACTGAGTTTTGGTGTCAATTTACACAGAATGTCATATACTCTATTGAGTTCAGAAAAGAAAGTTTTAAGTTCTCTTGAAAACCTTTTCAGGTCCTTCATAAAAGAACCTTTTTGCTTTTTCTGGAGTCTTTACTAAAGAGCTTTGTTGTCCAGACTAATATCAGAAACCATAAAATCCAAATCTATTTTTTCTTTCTTTCTTTGAGTCTACCAAGGAAAAAATCATTCCAATGCTACTTTGCAAACCAAAACTATCCTTCAGGCTTTAATGTCTAGAATGTTAGTTTTCCATGATTTCTGTTCTATTTATCTAAATCACTTTTTGATAGTATTTCTAGGCATTAAATACATGCTAATCCCAATTTGTAAATTAAATATATATATATATTTCAAGATACAAGTTTAAAAAAAATCCATTTCTCTCCAAACAAATGATGAGTCATTTTTGTATTATCACTGAGCATAAACAGATCATATTCTTCAGAAGTCATTTTGGAAAATAATTTATCTCATTTCATAACAGAAATAATTCTCTCATGCAATGTTTTATATAACGTTGCACATATTTAAGTGACCAGTGACTTATTTATCTTTGATGGAGGGAAATGTCTAAAAAATGCTCAATAATAAGGGTAAAATAATTGAATTGTATTTTCTACTTTTTCAATTAGATATTTAGGTTGTATAGTCACACAGCCAGAAAGAATAACAGGCATTCTGTGGCTTTGACAGTAACACAGAATTCCATTTTATGTCTTCATTTTCTTACATGAATACCTATCCTCCTTTTTTGTAATTGAAAGAGTCATAGACTCACTGCATATTCATGCATATAATTTGAGGTCTTTTTTCCTTCTAGAGTTCAAGTTGAAATACATTGTTGATGTATGCCCATTGTGACATGACAATTTTTGGAGTTATTTTTAATTAGGTATAAAATATTAATGCATTTGAGTTTGTATAGAGAATGTACTTGGAGGAGGGAACTTAGAGAGGTATACAGTGACAGAATTTTAATGAGGTTTTTTTTTTAAAAGAGAAGTCACTTTAGTTTGAAGGGCAGGCAAGGTTTGTCCCAAAAGCCCCCTTTGTGACATAGGGGAGGGAATTCACAATGACTCAACTTACAGAGAAAACAGAAATCCCTTTAGGTTTGGTTCCCCTCGTTAACTCAAAATAGCTTGTTTTCTACTGGGCTTGAAAATCGAGAAACTGAACTTGTGAGTCTCCTTTGGATTTCAGCCTTCTGCTATTGAGGATACCACTCTCTGCTAACTTTCAGTGAAGATGATGGAAAGCATCTAAGGAAGTTATATGAGTGGTTGGGCCCTTGTCATGAGACGCTAGGTTCCCTTCTGAAGAGAGGTCTAATTCCTGGAATTTAAAGAATGAGTCAAGGTGTGTCTGCTGAGACTATCAGATGACCAGCAGTGAAGAAGAAGTGTGACAGCCACCTCAGTGGCATTTTACAAATGCCATGATTTGGAACAGTATTGCCAACAGTATTGCCCTCTTCAATGACTGAGTAGCATCAAGAATTTCTACTAAATTAGAACATTTCTTTATCATAAAGACTCTCTGTACCCATGACATTGGCAGTGAAAGTTAACCCATATATCCTGGTTCTTAGGTGTTTTTTTGCTTCTCCAATTCAGTTCCATCAACTAAAATGGTGGAGGGTGGGGGAGGCAGATGGATGCCAAATCACTCCTCCCTGCAGAAAACAAAACCGTGCCCCAAAGCGTACACACCTCCACGTTTAGATGAATTATTAGATGTCTATTCATAATAAGCGAAGAAAGGCAAAGTTGTCCACCTTATGCAAGGTGACTAAAATGCATTTTGGAAATTACCACATGAATAAGGAAAATGCCAAAGGAGGAAGCAGGTGGCCTATGCCTACGCAGGACAGCCAGACAAAACTCCCTTGGCGGCAGGGGAAATAGCAAGTTGCTCTACATCATGAATGACAGCATTTCCAAGTAGAGGCCACTCAGCCCTGGCATGTGGCTCCCAAAGGAAGTGCACCAAAGATAAAGGGAAAGAAGGATCACGCCTATACAAATGGTCCAGGTAACCAGTCTGTTGCTGCACAGACCTGCCTGGACTACACGTGGTTTTCTACTTTTCAAACTCCTGGATGCTGCTGTCAAAAGAGTCAACCTTTTACTCAGAGTTGTTAGAAATCCACTTTTACTGAATATGTATACAACCACATTCAAGAAATACTTACTGAGTACCTACTATGTGCCAGATAGTGTTCTAGGTGCTTAGGACACCTCATGAACAAAAATAGAAGAAACATATGTGAAACACTGTTTGGGGCTGATAATAACTACTAAATATAGAGTAAGTACTAACTGATGGCAAGTACTAAGATATATAAAGTACCATCTTTATTCTCAAGGCGTTTACAATTTTGAATGAGGAGTGACCTAACATACGAGGTAGCATACAATGAGTATCAGAATGCTTGACACAGTGCCTCCATTGGACTAGTAAGGAAGTTGTAAAACTGTGCACTGCTCCCTAACATACAAAGTAGAAAGTTCTAAGAGTCATAAAAAAAGAGGTGCTAATAAAGTTCTACAGCGTTTGGAAGAGGGAGACATCACTTCTAGCGAGTTATCACAGAAGGCCTCATGGAAAACATTCAACGGGGTTATAAGATAGGACTATAGGAATGAGAAACTGACTTAAGGCAGGTCAGGAAAGGAGCCTGATGAACAAGTGGGAGAGATTAGAAAGTGGGAAGGTCATTTCAAAGGTTATTTTGCAAGTGAAAGTAGGGTACTCGAGGTAAGGATCCAGATATTTGTTGACTTTAAAGTTATAATTGGCCACATCAACTTTCTTGATCCCCTACCATCTCATAAAATATTTTGTTGTTTCAATCACCAAATCATAAACATGCAATTTTTTAGTATTTAACATTTATATACTATTTGTTTTCTTGATTTAATTTTTGAATTTTAGGTATTATCATGCCCATATTCCATTATCAGATCTGATTACTGTCTTCACTAGTGTTTAAAATTATTTTTATTATGACAAAATGATTTTCGACATGCTTTTCCTTAGACAGCGGTCACTGCTCATTTTCATCTATTGTCACTGTTTGCTGAAGTCTCTGCTTCTCTAACCCTCTCCCGGACTTAGAATGTTACACATATTTTTAATGATTTAATTTACAGCTGTGCTGTATGTGGTGAGATAACTGTGTCAAAATAGTGAGAAAAACAACAACATTGAAATGTAAAATTCTGCTAAATTGTATTCCAATCACCCCATGTTTTGTCTCTGACAGTGGCACTCAAGAGAATTATATAGCGTTCCCAATTTTCCTCTCTGAGGTCAACTTCAGAAGGTAAAGAATGCACTTAAAATAGTACAGTTTTCTACAACATATTTTTTTCTATGAATGTGCCTGAGTGTGTGTTATGTGAATAGTGGTGTTGAGGGTAACTAAGGCCATATGAAGAGGCAGCAAATTGATGGCAGAATACTAAAACCTTTGCTAGTCTCAGAATAAATGATGTCCCCATCTGTGAATGGCCCCAGTGGCAGGACATCTGACACCAGAGCCAAAGGCCTGAGTATGGACCGAGCAGGGGTTTGGAAACAGTAGAGGAGCTTGGTACCTGGGTCCCCTCTGCCTCCTCCTAGGACCCCACTTGGCACAAGAACCCTAGAAAAGCCAAGAAGAGTATGAGTGGTGGAAAGCCCAGGATTCCTGATTCCCTTCTGTCTATACATTCCTTAACTCATGAGGAATACTGCCACCTGCTTTGTGCTGGGGACATAGTTAAACTTCTGCCATGAACCTTGACTGCTCACAGTTTGCAATCTAGTGGGGGTAACAAACACGAAAGGTCATTATATGAGTTACATCATTACAGTTGTGACCAATGCTCCAAGGCGAAAGGGCAGAGTGCTTTACGGGAGAATTACTGGACACCAGGCTGTGCCAGCATCCCCAGAACAGAAGAAAATACAGCCAGCGTCCTTCAAAGCATAACAATTAACATCAGAACAAATGATAAAATTCGACTTCCTCAGGGAAATAGCAGTATAAATAATATCATAACAATGGCAAGGAACTTCGAAAACTTGAGCTGTGTGATAAACTATGCATCAAGTTTTGTTATGCAAATGACAAGGAACTTCTGGAACACTTTCCACACAATCTTTTAACAACATATATTGCCCATAAAAGGAAGGAAATCTCATCTGAAATGTTATGCACCTGTGTGGCTAGTCCATTATTCACAAAGCATCATGGATCTGATATATATTTGCTCTACCTAATTCTGTTAGACAGTTAATTTGTAATGCTACACAAAATGTGCACAGAAACCTTAAACATGGCAGTGCAGGTATTCCCTGGACATCCATGTATTCATTTACTGTGGGATATTTAGAAAAATCAGGTGAACGCGCACATCATCTTAGCACATGTCCATCTGGCATCTAGAATTGCCAACAAACACGTTGCTTAAGTAGCAGTGGTTAAGCGTAGGGACCCTGGAGGACACCATATAAATGACCACGGGCTCCACAAAGATGACCACCAGGCCAGGCACCAACCTTGATTATTCGTTCAGATGTCCCATTTCTAAGGATTCTTGGGGTAATTTTTATAGTATAAGTTCTTTCAAAACAAATGAGAAAAAGAAGAGTTAGTAAATATAGGGTGTCTCAGAAAATGTATGCAAACTTTGAATAAATATGACTTCCAATGGATTAAATCGGAAAAGAAAGAAACATCAATTGAGTGATCAGCTGTTAATGTGTGCATACATTTTTTGGGACACCCTATCTATGCCACTGGAAGAAACTTAATCCTAGAAAACAACCCCAAATTTTATAATTCCCTCCCTCTCCCTCACCACTAGGAAGTGGAGGCTACTGTGGCTCTTTAAACAGTATGTTCATCCAGGTTCTTTAGCTGCATTTGCTAAAAAGCTGAATTTTTGTTGGTGCTCTTGAATTCCAGCGTCTCTAGCTGACAATTTCTTTCTTAGGCTACAGTGGGTTTGTGAGAGAGATTCTGGCTTCATCAGAAAGGAAACTCTTTTTTTTCTGCACTTGGGTCTTTAGGTTGATGACTGTAGAGGGAGCAGGTTTGGGAATTTCCCTGTTCTCACTATACCTGCCATTATAACCAGAGAGTAAATATCAGAGCAAGAAACACCTTCTGAAGAGTATCCACAATCCTGGTGATCTCAGACAAAGAAATGTGCCTCCAGCTTCGCACTGTAAGATAAATAAACCAAGGAGCAAATGATACATCCCCCACAAAAACAAAGAGTCCTGTTTACAACTCCTTTTATTGTCACCAAAAATACAATAATATAGGACATGTGTACAGTGCTTTTCAGACTATATATTACCCCATTTCTATTCGGAGAGAGCTGGGATTGCTTCTGACCCACCGTACACTCATACAGTAAACAAGCACCTGGTGGTTAGAGTTCTAATCCCTCTATTCGTCACAGAGTAAAAGGCTTCTTATCTGATGTGACAGGAACCCACGGCTATTTGTTTAATTTTTAAAATGTAGGTCAAAGCTGGGAATCATAAAAAATGATACACAGATATCTTAACATATGAATTTAAGCAATAGACCCATTCATTTGCCAAACTCCATATGTAGGGCCAAGATCATTTCTTTGGTGCGGGCCACTGGCTGGAAATCTGAGCTGACCTGTCGCACAAACAAATCCATACGCATCCTCAACAAGTGACAGTTACTCTGTTTTGTGTGTTTGATGTTGCACATGTGAAATAAGAACTTAAAGACATAGATGAAGCAATAATCCAAAGCAGAGTCTATTGGCTTATTTTTTCCTGAACTTTTCTGTTTTCTCACCTGCACTTAATTTGAAAGCAATGTTAATGAAGTTTTCAAAACTTCACAAAGCATTCGAGTTAGTGTTTATACAAAAACTTTTTAACAATTACACCTCAACTGCTTATTTCTATTTAATATTTAACTAAGTTTTATCATTACAAAACAAGAAACAAATGGAATAAACAAGTTGGAGAATAAATAGAACCGGAACAGGTTATGAATAAAACGCACTAAGCAGCAGCAGAGGCGTGTGCTTAACCCGAAAGAGCCTATTTCCACAAGCATCTGGGTGCCATGGGACAGAATTAACAAGACCAGCAAGTAGGTAAAGTGTGTGGGTCTATTAAGAGAACATCCATGGTAGTTGTTATATTTCAGGTGCTTCTCGGGAGTTATTGTGATATATAAAATCAGCATGAAATTTGTTTTAAAATTATTTGATATTTCCACACTGAATAAAAGTTTTCAGAAAAGAACTATTGGGCCTATTCGGCATGACCCAGTCTTCCTATTTAACACTGAGAATCAGCAGTTCTGCGGGTCCTGTCCCATGTGGTATTGCTCTACCAGCTCCAGGAACCCTGTGAATTCCACTCAAACCTCTGTATTCTTCAGCTGCTATTGATACCCGAGAGTCTTTTACCTTGAGAATGTTATTCATTCAGGCCAGCGGTTCTCAAAATGTAGGGGCAGAAGGCTTCTAACAGTGCACTACAGGCGAGAACGCAGACCAGGGGCTCTGATGAGAGATCCTGACACGCAGTATGGGGGCGAGCTCCAGAATCAGCGTAACAAGCAGCACAGGTATTCAGGCATTAACTACTCTTACACACTTTTAAAAAACTTTGAACACTATGCAAAGTACCATCCTCAAGGGTCACCCCCACTTTCTTTTCACTCCAGCCAGCTTGAATACCTTTGGTTCCCAGCACAAACTAGGGTCTATTTCTCCTCAGGACCTTTATTTAAGTAGATCCCCTGCCTGGAATGAGTTTCCCATACTTTTTGGACCAACTTGAACTTCTTCCTCAAGTGTAAGTATCATTTCCCCATGGGAATTCCCTGCCCCTGTAGACAAGGGTAGCAAGTCTTGCCATACTCTCCCCTGTTCCCTTTACTTGTTTCAAAGCACATACTATTCTTGTTTAGTGTCTGTGTTTTCCCACATGCTTTCACCCCCACATCATGAGCTTCGTGAAGGGAGAATCCCTGTTTGCCTTGGTCACCATTACATCCCCAACACTTTTTATGGTGCTGGGCAGAGTGGCCACTCAGTAGTCGAATAAGTGAAGAAAATGAATGAATGTTAATATGCAAATCTCTTCATGAAAGGCAATACTGTCTGCAATTGCTCATTTAATGGCTACTTAGACCCATTATTAAGAATAGGGTCTAATAGGGAAGAGGATAAATATATTTATTTGGGGAAAGGAGCAAGAGGAGGTGAAATCAAAAAGGGCTCACTCCTCAATTGCTCTAAGACTGCCTTGAAATAAATGCAACTTCCTGTGTTGAGCTGTGCTATAAAAAATTTTCCATTCAGTACTTAGTTATTATCTGCAAATCATTCACTGATGGCTACTTAACTTTATCAGCAGAAGTTCTTATTGTTAAGAGTTATTAAACACTAACCACGTCAGGGGATTAGCAGAGACTCAAGGAAATTATCCCGGAAGTCTTGGGAGGAATAATGTAATGGTTAATTACAGATTCGTTCATTGAATTGGCCTGTGATATTAGATTTTGAAGCATTCCATCGTGGCTATTAGCATGTCTCTCAGAATAACACAAAAGAAATTGAGAAAAATTCTTTATTCATGAAGCCATCCATATTCATTAAATAAGCCCCTACTAAGTGCAGGACAAAAGGAATAAAACAAGAGCCCTGTCCTCAAAAGGTTTTTAACCTGGCTGGTGATTGTATCAGGTTTTGTCCTAAAAACATCTGTGTAATAAAAAACAACAAATCTCAGTGACTATCTATATATCTAAAACCCTAATATGCAAATAGACTGAATGGCAGAACAACCAAACAATCAGTTGCTATGATGTGTGCTGACCATCGGGGGCATGTGCAGAACATGGTGGGCATCAGCAGCAGGCGGCAGAGCATAGAACATGGCGGGCATCAGCCATGGCAGTATGATGGAGGAGGTGAGCAGGGGCATCAGACCAAGGCAGGGCACTGGTCACTGTCATCGGGGTGAGCTTCTGGTGGTTACTGAAAATTCTTAGCTTCGTGTGCTGCCCAGCGCTTGCACCCGCTGCCAGCACCAGCCCTGCTCGCACTTGCTGATGTCAGTGGGTGCAAGCAGTGGCTGCCGGCCCCAATCATCCCTCAGGACTTCTCCACCTCCCCCTGCTCCTGAGGGGTGATCGGGGCCGGCAGCCGCCTCTCGCATCAGCTGCTGGCGCTGGCCCCACAGCTCGCACCTGCTGCCAGCACCAGTCCCGATCACTTGGTGCTGTCAGAGGATGCGAGTGGCAGCTGCAGGCCCCGATTGCTCCTGAGGGCTTCTCCACCTCCCTCTACTCCTGAGGAGCAATTGGGGCCGCAGCCGCCACTCACACCTGCTGTCAGTGCCGGCCCCGCTTGCACCTGCTGCTGGTGCCAGCCCCAATAGCTCCGTGCCATCAGTGGGTGCGAGCGGGGCTGGCACCATCAGCGCATGGGAGTGGCAGCAGCGGGAGTGGGGCTGCCGACAGACGGGGGACCGGAGGCCATGGCAGGACGGGCTGGGTGGGGGCGTGAAGGATGGGCTGAGACCCGCCCCTGTGCCCACCACAGCCTCGCAGCCCATAGTTCCTTTCAAGGTGCATGAATTCATGCACTGAGCCCCTAGTACAACAATAAATATCTGCCATGTGTCTACAAGTTTCGGTTTATCTATGCTGGATTCACTCCTGTATCTGAATGTCAACTAGATGTGAACTAATCCAGGCTGATCTTGGCCAGGTCAACTTGGCTCTGCTTCATGAGTCTCTCACCCTCATCTTGGGTTGAGCAGGCTAATCTGGGCCTGAAGAGTAATGGCTCAGCACAAGTGAATAAACTCAATCTCAGAAGTGATTCTTCCAGCTTCTGCTTGCATCACATTTATTGGCATCCAACTGGACAAAGCCAGTCACATGCCTGAACTCACCTCTTGATAGAAAGTTGCAAAACTACAGAGAAAATGATGTGGATATAGGAAGGGAATAATTGAAGCAATTGTAATCTACTATCTATCTATCTATCTATCTATCTATCTATCTATCTATATAAAAGCCAAGCAACCAGAATGACTGGAACGACCAGTCACTATGACAAGCCCTGTGGCTGGCCAACCAGCTTGATGGGACTGACCAGCCAACCTCCTGTGTCCCCTCCCCTGAGCTGGCCCGATCAGCCCCGATTAGGGCGGGCTGGCTGGACCCCACCCATGCACGAATTTGTGCACCGGGCCTCTAGTAGTAATACTAGCATTCCCAGTGTTACTACAGTTTGAGATGAGGGATAGCAGGAGCACAAAGAGTTGCAAGGGGTAAACCTGGAGAGATAAATAGGGATGAGGTTAAGGTGAGCTTGGTAAACCATGCTAAGGATTTTAAACTTTATCCTTAGGATGATTGAAAGCCATTGAGGGGTTTTAAACTAAAAACAATCCATTCTGATTTGTGCTTAAGGAAAATTACTTTGGCATCAGTAAGGAGGCCTGGAGAAAGTGGGGACTAAGTTAATGGAAGGACCAACAGAGATACTGCAGTGGGAATGGAGAAGAGTTAAGGATTCAACACATTTTTACCAAAGTATAAAATTCAGAGACTGATTAGCCATCAAGGCTGAAAGAGTGGTAATAATCAAGAATGATGCTCATATCTCTAACTTACCTTCTTGGAACATGATGATGTCAATTATTAGAGATGGGGACTATTGGAGAGGGAGAATACTAAAAGGGAGGATGATGGTTACTTTTTGTGTCATACTGCAAAAATGCTAGTCAAAAGTATTATCCAGTCTTTTAATTTTTGTAAATGTTTTTTATGTCCTGGGATGAAATTCATATCATGTTAAAAAGCTTTAAACTTCTTACTTTACAAATACTAAACTTGCTCATCTAATAATTGGCATTAAAAGTCATTACACTTTCCTTACACTTTTTTCCAATTCCTTTAGTGCCAATTTATATTGTTAAAACAGATTATGAGGTCTTATTCTAAAAATAAATCTTTATTTAATTGGTTTGACCTTTCCCTTTATTTTCTTTTTAAAAAAATCTATGAGTAAAGACAATTTGTCTTGCAAAATGCTTAGTCACCCAAATTTTAGAATACTTAATCTGCAGTTGTCCAAGATTTGAATAGTGAGACCACAATATATTTTCTCGGTTGCAAAAGAACC